GATGGTGCGCGCCTGTGGTCCTGAACAACAAGCACTTTTAAAAACTCAACATCTTTTTTAATCCCAGAACTGTGAGCACACGCCGTAAAAAGGCTGACGTACCTGTGAGGTGCCCGCTCATCATCTTGTCGTGGGAGTTAAAAAGCTGCCTGTATTTGAGCCTGGACGATTGAGGGACGGACCAATCAGAGGGAGGCTGAGCACTGCGACAAAAAGTGGAAAAAAGGGACACAATCAATGATCCGACTGATGGATAATCAGAGTAAATCATTAGGAGGAGGGCGGGAGTCTTTAAACGCACCCGGCGGCATCAAAGGAGGCGACTTTCTGTAGCTTGGTGCTGGAACGATTGAAGGATGAGGATTTGTTGACAGCTGCAGCTGGAGGGAAGAAGAAGAAAAAGAAGAAGAAGAAGAAGAAGAAGAAGAAGAAGAAGAAGAAGAAGAAGAAGAAGAAGAGGAAATGTTAGGCCACAACCAGAGATGTTCAGTAACGAAGTAAAACTACTTAAGTACTGTACTTAAGTACTAAAATGCAGTATCTGTACTTTATTGGAGGATATATTTTTCCCTACTTTTACTCCACTACATGTTTTTGATCAATTTAATACTTTTACTTTAGTGTCACTGGCTGAATCGTTACTCGTTACTGAAATGTAAACGTAATGATAGATAGCTCTGTCAGGGTTTGAGAAGCTGGCTCATCATTGGGCGATAGCCTATTAAAAACAAGCCTCCCGACATATTGAGAAATCATGGCCTTCAACAATTCCCCATCTAATCTGAAGAAACATATCAAGGCAAGTTAAAAAATACAATGGCATATAAGCTAGAAACGAAGTGCTAGTTCAGTTCTCCCTGTTCACTCAGGACGTAGCAGCTAACGTTAGCTAAAGCTAACCTAGCTGGCTAGCTGTATGCTACATGCTAGCATAAAGGCTCAGCTCAGGATTCTGACTCTGGAATAATAAATAATAGTAGAAGAAGAGCTGTTTATTGCTAATGCAGATGTAGTTTTCTGTTTTTTGTAAACAGCTGTATGGCCTTTCACATGTTTGAAGTAATATAAACAATATCTATCAAACTTTTGACTGCCATTTTTTAATATACACAGTACTTGTACTTTCGATACTTAAGTAGCCATTTTTTAAATACTTCTACTTGCAATACTTAAGTACAAAAAAATGGAGTACTTCTGTACTTCCACTTAAGTATGGTGTTGAAAGAATACTTCTACTTTTACTCAAGTAAAAGCTTTTACATAGTACTTGTACTTCTACTCCACTCCTCTACTCCAGTACTTTAAACATCTCTGTTGATTGCTAATGCAGATGTAGTTTTCTGTTTTTGTAAATGGCCTTTCACACGTTTTAAATAATATAAACAATGTCTATCAAACTTTTGACTGCTTTTTTTTTAAAATATACACAGTACTTGTACTTTTACTTATACTTAAGTAGCAATTTTTGAAATACTTCTACTTGCAATACTTAAGTACAAAAAAATTGAGTACTTCAGTACTTCCACTTAAGTATGGTGTTAAAGAACACTTCTACTTTGACTCAAGTCATTTCTTTATATAGTACTTATACTTCTCTACTCCAGTACTTTATCCATCTCTGGCCACAATCACCAAGAGGTGGATATACTGTATATCCTTTGTGTTTGCGGTCTTACCTGGGTGGGAAAAGCCTGAGATGGGCGGCATCATGGCTGAGGGAGGAGCTCCGTTAGCGATGGGCTGCGGAAGAGGGGGGGGGGCGGACGAAACCAGGGGGGGGGCACCCCCCCCGGGGAGGGGGGGCGGGGGGGGGGGGGGGCACCACCGGGAGGGGAGCCGGCAGAGATGCTATAGGGGGCATTCCTGGAAAGAAATTAAGTCATTATTTCCTAAGCTAATTTTTCTGTGCTAATTATAAGAGGTCCGAACATCCCTGTAGGAGCCTAAGTGCAGTTTATTTTAGTTAGAATATTTTTTTTTATTTAAAAATACGTAAATTCATACGTAAGATAAATATTGTTTGTTATTTAATATTTTATTCAAAATATTAATATTATTTTATTTAATTCAAAAGGGATTTTAAAAATTTTGAAAAATGCAATTTACATATGTACAGTTCATTGATATTGTGCAAGATATTACTTTTATCGTGACATTTAAATACCTTTCATCAGGTTATTTATCTTAATGCCAAGGGGGCGTAGTCAGTGGGAATCAGAAGGAGATTGGAGCTCAATAGTTTTTGGGCTCCGTTGGACTTTAAAAGGACTTAATTTGGTGAATATTTTATGTTTTTTGTAATGTTTCAAGTATATCGTTAAAAGCAAGAAGTGAGACTGGGTTTACTAGATTTAACTTGGCAACAAGAGGACAGTCTTATGTTTGTTTTTTCTGCTTTTGGGCTTTTTATTGTATTTTATTATTTATTTTTTTATTTTTCTATTCTTATTTTATTCTTATATATGTGTATATCCTTCTCTTATGTATGGAAAGTGTTTAATATTTGATGTTTTCCTCCTATGCAAAAAGTTCAATAAAAATAAAAAAGCAAGAAGTGGGCTGGTGGATTTATTGTTTTTTTTAGTGTTTTGATACAAGGGAGTCTGACGAGGGTCAAGCTAACGCTTCAACAAGGACAGTAAGAACCCACAATTACTTCTGGATTAAAGCTCAACACCACGGTGGTCTTACCGAAGCCGGTCTGTGCGGGTAAAGACAGGGGGGGCTGTTTCATACTGGGAGGAAGCGCCGGGGGCAGAGGGTGGCCCTGGAGTTTCAGCTTGATGAGTTTCATGGCGATGGAAAACTCGTGGATATCCATCCTGCCGTCACTGTTCATGTCAGCCAGAGCCCTGCGGGGGGGAGGAAAAGGTTACTGCTAAACTCAAGCTTTTCCCACTGTTCTAGCTACTGTTGTTTAACACAAATACAAGTATGAATGGCTTTTAACTCATTGGCTGCCAAAGACGTCTATAGACATCTTTTATGTTTTTCAACGAGAGTGGCTGGGGGACGATCTGCTAAAGCTTGTCCGTAAATATCAGGCTTCTAGACAGAGTATGTAGTAACAAATTGACCCTCTAGGGGGCAGTGCCACTTTTGATGGGAGATGAGCATAGACTGTAGGCAAATAAGAAAAAGGTAACGGTTCGCTATGAGAGAACATGTCGCCGGTGAGACGCAAGTCCAGGAAGAACGGAATAAGGTAGAAACACTTTTTTTTTCCTGATGAAAGAAGAGAGTCTACTCTTTCTTTTGGTGTGTTCGGTGTTTACATAGTCATAGCACAAACTATTCTGTGGCTCTTGAAAAATCAGTCAAAATGCTCAAAAAACTCTGGCAGTCAATGAGTTAAAAGGACACGATCAAAGCAAAGGCATCTTACCATATTTGGGCCAGGATGGGCGGGGGCAGCCCTGATTGTAGGAAAAAGTTTCTGGCCTGGTCACCTGACAGACAAACAGAGGCAAGACGTGAAGGAAGTGGACACATAACTACATAAAATGTGATTAAACTAGGGATGTCCCGATCGAGCTTAATTCACTTCAGATCCGATCCCGGCCTATCAGAGCATGTGTTAAAGTTTAAAGTTATTTATCTACTTACTTAGTTGTCAGACTCATGTTGAACAGGGATTTACTCTGATAACAACTTAATGGTTAGGACACAGACCTGTGGGTTAGGAGATGCTAATGCTAATGCTAATGGGGGATCGGACTTTAAAAAAAAAACTGGATCGGCATTTTCTCCTGCCGGACGATCCAAATATCAGATCAGGAAAAGCCTAATATATATATATATGTATATATATATATATATGTTTTTATATGTCTTTAAGCTGCTCATCATCCTATATTTAAGGGATATATTTAAGGGATATATGTTATACATAACATATTATTTATTTCAATATTACATATCTAAGGCGTGTTATTATTAGCCATTAGCCGCAGCTAGCAATTCAAAGATAACGTCACGTTAATGATCATAAACAACGTAAATAAATAAATCAGAGAGATACTTTTGACAACCCTTGTTAGATAACAGGACATTTAACACCTGGACAGCAAGTTCCACACTCAGCGGATGGCCGGTCATGTGACCCGGGGCTGGTCTCGCCTTACGGATGTACTGTAAACGTTACCTGTGATGTAACCCCCCGCCGTCGGAGAGAGGCTGAGAAACTGCTGATCATGTTTGGCTCTCTCATCCACGGAGATCAGGAACACATCTGGACCTGGCCAACAGAGTCAGAGGCAGAATGGAAAGTAGGAATGGGAGGAATGTGTTAGTCATGGGTTTCAGTTCTCGTCGGGAGGTTTTTTAAATGATGTCATTAAAGGGGACATATTATGCAAAACCAAGTTTGTAATCGTTTGGTTATGTACATTTGGGACTGTGGAGGGCCTATCAGCAGGAAAAGTGTGAAAAAATGACTCAGTCATGTTTTTGTGGGCTGCCTCAGGATGGCTTTCTGCACATAGGGTCTCTGTATACTGGGTTCTGTCACCGATGTGTTTGTCTTTGTGTATTATTTTGTATTGTTCGATAGTTTGATCTGTTTTTTATTCTGTTAAGCACTTTGATCAGCTCCAGTTGTTGTAAAGTGCTATATAAATAAACATTGATTGATTGATTGATTGATTGATTGATTGATTGATTGATTGAATCCAGGAGATAAATCAGGAGGTTTCAGGAGTGGGTAGTTTCTGACATCATTAGCTCTAGCTCATTATAATATTCCAGCCTTTCACCTGCATGTTGCCCCCCCCCC